CCTCATGGATTTCAGGGAACCAGAATCATTGGACAACCATTGTTGAACTAACATCAGTGACCTCAAGATTCAACATGGCACCCGAAGGGTACCCATATATACTATACCCATGGAAGCGTTGATCCGGTTGGTCCCGTGAGGTTTCATCCAGCCTTTGTCAGACTCCGTCCGTCGGCGCCCGTCAACGCTGCTCCCGTTGGGCACCGCACCAAGCCCATGATTTGTACCGTCGTTGGTTGCTGAGCGGTCCGTGGCGACGGTCCCAAGCGATCCCGTGCGGCAAAGTCGTAGTTCCAACGAGGCACACAATGATAAGAGCATCTAAGATCGGAGCTAAGGGTCCAAACACCAGACGTTCTTCAAGCTCGTAGTGTCAACTGCTATCCACATCCAACAAACAACTGGTAGCCGGTAGCCTTTAATTACGTACACCATGCTGAGTCGGCGCTCATGCTTGCACTGACCTGATGCATCGTTCCATGGACATCTTCTTCGGCACTCCCTTCCCAAGCCGCACGTTTCCAGAATGCATATTTATCTTTTGCGCAACCCCAGCTTGTGGGTCATCTAATGGATGTTTGCATTTTACATACTTTTGGCAAGTTGAAACTCAGTGAAAACTATGAGGTTGGAGGCTATTATGTTGGAGACCATCGCTATTAGGTTTCAGGCCATCGCTAGTAGGTTGGAGGCCATCACTGTTAGGTTCCTTGAAGTCTCACATTGTCTTTCCTGGAAAGAACTGCCCTTCGATGCCCTGGGGTATCTCAAATACTTGTGCGACTGATGCTTCTGCGGCCCCGATGGGGTGGCCTGGTGTTGGTATGTGGGTTGATAAAGACAAACGTTACTCGTAAATAGGATGATACAGTGCGGGGAATGCACTAAGAGTACACATGTGACACATGTGCATACAGTAAACTACATGAGCATGTTCACCAATCTTTAGTCTTCAAATACCACTTGAGATCTACATATCTGCACAGGCCAGCTTTGGTGGTACAGGCACTCCTTGGTCTCTTTTCACCCCGGTTTCGTGTGTCATGCCGCTGATTGCAACCCAGTTCACCTCCCCCCAAACCACCTATTATATAGCAGGTTCTTCATGCTGGAATTGGTTCCAGAGGAAGACTCAGCGTCAGACTTCCACGAACATGTCTTTGACCATCTGGTCCAGATCTTCCTGCAACAACCGTCTGAGGCATTCAGGCACAGTTGCACGCTCCTCTGACCTACAACAATGACATGGCCTGCTCTGCAAAGTGCCACATGAAACAAATCCAATAGCATCGAGAAAGCCGGGATTTGGTCAACCACCAAAATCGTGTGCTGATTCTTCCAATTATGCAGTACAATTACTTGAGTCAAAACCGTTCCAGTCTTTTCCATGTACCACGCAAGGCGTTGGACATGGACATACAACAGCAACAACAAAACACTTCTACCACACAACCCATGGCTTTCCCAAAACAAATCGCTTTCGCTACAAGGTACGACCAGCCATGTCAGTGTATCGACCCATTCTCCAGCCACGCATGGCCACCATGGCCCTGCAAGCCTGCTCGATCTCAACATCATGATCGACCAGCAAGCCGCTGAGGTTCTTGACGAGATCTTCAATGGCCTTCTTACGCAGGAAAGCTCAGAAAGTGAGTCCGATGAAGCAAAACAAAGCAATCCGAGAAGCAGCAAATCTAAACCTATATAATAAGTTCTGAATAAACTTCAATATGCTTGGAACGTGTCATATTCAAAAATGATCAAACATGTTCTAAACAACTCTTCCAGAAACAAAGGTCTCCTGCGTCTCCTGGGACAAGTCACACATAACGTAGTCACCCTACTCTTGTCATGAAATGATATGTATGATACAACGCCAACTTCTGGCAAATATACTTCAGAGCTTCAGAAGTAGAGGCCTGAACCACCAAAACCGAGAACAGTATATCTCCATGTATAGGACACATATTCCTTGATGCATGACCTGTAGTGCATGACACAACGCAACACATCATGCCAAAGTCACTTACCGACATCCTCAACATCCGCCCTTCGACACGGCCTTGGGTGCATGTCCCTTCCGGAGCTTCTGCTCTGGGATCGCGGCATCGGCCTCACCACTGATCAACAAATGATCAAGAATCGGGATCCACATCATTCCACATGTGCTGCTACCGCTGCGGCTTCTGTTTTATGAACTTGTCCCCCTGGCAGGCGTGTATGATTTTGTTTACACAAGCAGCGCGAGCATGTTTGGCCAATGTATGGACACAATTGTGCTGCCATTTCATATGTTATCATATTTGATCATACTTCATACTTCGATGCTGTAAACCTGGAAACTAGTGAGGCAACATGCTCTGCAAAACCTCCGGAGGTAACTTCCACTGTTCATCTAAGAAAGGGCACCAGGAATATGGCCTCTACTCTAGCTTGAGGCCCTGAGGATGCATTCATTTGATATCCCACTTCCACAACAATATGTGCACGGTGACGGCACCGTGTGATAACTGACAGGTCGACAGCGGTGTGACATGCGCCTTCTTGAGAATCACATGTTGCGGAGCCTCAAAGCGGCAAAGCAGTCGAACAAAAGACCGGTCCAAATTCATTGCTTTGAACTTGTTGTCTTAAATCGTACCCTGATACCTGTTGAATTAGGTCCTAACGGTTGAACGCATGAGTTTGTTTAATAAAACCCATTCGGGCTGAGGTCATATCCTTTTTCTTTAAATGTGTTTTATTGTTTCAAGGCAGTATTTCATACACGCAAAGAATCTGCAAAGAAACCAACCACGTCCTCGAAGAAACAGTCTGCTCCTGAGAGGCCCGACCAACTTGCAAGCATTGCTCAAGTGCTCCAGGCTGTCCTGGCACACAGCTGCAAAGAACCAGGTGCTTGAGAAGAACTCAGGACAAAACCAATGCAGTTCAACAAGACATGCTCATACCCATGAAACTGCAAGACTTGCAAGAGCTTAAGAAGTTGCGTTATACCAGTGACCGCTTGTGTTGCTGTATGTTTTTTCTTCGCCTGCCTACGGTAGTGCCACCAAAAAAATATGCAGGCGCTTCTGGCATTATTCTCTGAGCACATCCAACAACTATCCAGGCACAGCCGGCACAGCACTCGAAAATCCCGGTGGTCCAAACGCCGTCTTAGACGGCGCATCTCATGATCCCACCCGTTTCTCGTCCCACCTGTTTCGTCAGGAGGTTCATGCCAATGGAGCTCAGGTCCGGCCTGGGACCGAAGAGTGCAATCGTAGAACCCACAGATTGGGGAATTAAAATCAATTGGTTTCACAGTAATGTTAGTAATTATAATTAATGACATGAATCAGATTAACTGGATTTCACAAATTTGTGCATTAAACTCGTGGGTTTGGGGATTTGGGATGGATATCGTTCAAACATAAGTTTCGGTCCTTACAGCAACCACCGTTTGGCCTGCATTCATTAAACCATCACAAACACAAATGTCTGGGTCACCGCAAACGCCGAAGAATCAGCGGGAGTAATGCTGCTGAGTCAACAAACATGGCAAATAAAACATCAATTGTTCATCTCAACTCTCTGGCTGCGTCTTCATCTCCTTGACATGCACCGCTCCCAGCGAAACCGCCGAAATCAGCTCGGTCCACGTGTGAGCGCAGGTCAGTTCAACTTGTTGCGGCATGGCCAGCATCACCAGGTACCAAAGATTCGCTGCTCATCGGTCCCAGGACTTCTCAGGACTCCATCGACTGATGGACTCGTGTCAGCTGGTCTCACCCGATCTCACCTGGTGTCACCCGCAATTCCGCGAGGGGTCCTGGTTGGGCAGTACCACCTGCGCCACCCGCATCAAGCGTCGCAGCAGCACGGCGTGATCCCGGATCCCTGCCTCGTCCTGTGCATCGACCAGCGAGGCTCGGGGAGTTCAAACGTTTTGGGTTGTTTTCGTAGGTTTCCGTTTTGTTGGGGTGGCAGTGGTTTCGAATCCTATAGTTGTTCAAGGAACGGGTAAGAAACATGGTCTTCACATTACGTGCACTTGAGGCTTCAAGGCTTAGCATATTTTCACAACCAAAGCGTTCAGCAATCTGATGCCATCGGAATATATATATATATATACAATTCACCGGCCAAAAAGAAGCAAAGCTGGCTCTTTGGCAAATCTGAGGTATCCAAAGGATTCGAGTTGATCTTGTTGATCCGTTCCGCCACATTCTGCACCACTGAAGGGCCATTGCGGTTCCCTTCCACCAAGTAGGGAACGTCACCTTGCCACTTCCGCGCTCCCATGACAATATCCATATAGGCCTTGTTGGCCTTGACGTACTCTTGTTCACCCACGCAGCTGCAGAACTCCTTCCAGTTCAAAAATTCTTGGGCGGTGCCCAAGCTTGAACACGTGAAAAATGTGAAACTCTCATTGAATGGATTATCCATGCCCAGTGTGAGACCCATAATATACATGCAATGCACACACAGGTCCCACACACATTGCAGCCGGATTCTCCCCTCGAAGTTTGACAGTCTCTATTTTTTGTGCCTTCGACCTGTTCGGTCCCTCCCAACCTCCAAAGATTGAGATAGTTTTTGGGAGATGCCATCCTCGGATGTCGCAGACTTAGCGACAATGACACTCATCAATCATGTGTACATAAGATGGCTCCTTATGAAAACACATGCGAAAATTGCAACTGGACTATCTGCTTTGAATCCAAGACCTTCCTACTGGATTTTTTTAATGTTACAATATCGTACAATATCATGTTTTTGGGTGAATGGTCTCGTGACACAGGTACTTGTAAGGTACGTGGAACAAAATTGCCCAGCTGGTGGCATGTCCGGAGAATACCTGCAGCTGACTCTCTCAGGTAGTAGTTGGCTGGCACTGAGCAGCTGACATTCAACATGGTCTGGGCCACGACGGATCTTACTCCTTTGTAGTCTTTCCAGGTTCCTGCCATTTGTTTCTGATTTAAAAAATGAACAACTGATCCTTGACCAAGCTAACTGATCATCAGCCGGGCATCCACCAAGCGATGCCCAAAGTTCTTCACCTGCTGAATCGCTTCCTTGGCCGCTTCCTCCGACAGCAAAACCTTCCGGAGCTCCGCGTCCACCGAAGACGCATCGGCGGAGGACCGCAGCGTGCCATCCTGACGTGGTGGATGGGTGGATCGATCTGATCACAGGGTTCACTAAAAGCGGATAGGTGCAGGCTACAAGCTTTGGAATATATGATATTAAATGATATAAACAAGTACAAAAAATGCTGTGTATATATATATTATTAGAATATACTATTGTGTCAGGACATCGATTGGTCGAAGCCGTTTTTCGAGAAGTGTAACAAGTCTTCTTGAACGCCGGTGGATCGAGGTGGGCAACAGGACCCTGCATAGCGTGCGGTGAAAAGGCATGCCGCCTTTGAACTATCCACAGTGGTAGCGGAGCTAGAAGCTCCAGGTCATTCGTAGTTGACACCATGGCTGACGGAAGAGCACACCCTGTTCCAAGAAGTGATATGAGTCAAGAGGTGGATACCTCTCCTGCCCCGAGGCGGTGGCACAACACCAGGACGTGATGTTGGATCCGAAGACTTTGACAGTGATGAGTTTATAGAGAGTTTCTTCGAGACCGCCGGCTTTGTCATCGTCGAGAACGAGGCAGCGATCGAGGAGAAGCTGATGGCAAAAACCTATTGAATGGGATGGAGAGAGCATTCCATTCCAAGACTTATTAATTTTTTGTTGGCTTGCTGTTTGGTCGCGGGAAGTGTTAGTGAACAGGTCTTAAGGAAACCATGGGGCTAGATCAAAGATGCTCCAAAAGAGCGTAGGCTTCGACCAACAGGAAGTTGGGTCGATGTGAATCAGGACATCGATTGGTCGAAGCCGTTTTTCGAGAAGTGTACCAAGTTTTTTGAACGCCGGTGGATCGAGGTGGGCAACAGGACCCTGCATAGTGTGCGGTGAAAAGGCATGCCGCCTTTGAGCTATCCACAACTATGCAGTATATATATAATATACACTACTACCAGTATCAGTTTGAGGCAAAGCTCAGATATTACTATAATCTATAATGTCAGAAAATGTCAGATGAAAGTGGATGAATACAGTATATATCTCTTTTAGAGGTCAAACGTACAACGCCAAACAACCCATGGGGTGAAACGAGAATTCATTGGCAAAGAGGGGCACCTTGCATCTGGAACAACTTAGAACCTGGAAGCTGGTTCACTACATATTCGCAGAGCCAACAGTGAGTAGTAATGAACTTCTTGACTGGGCCACAATCTCCCTCAGTGAGTTTGGTTCCTCATAAATCTCTTGTCAGCCCCACCAAAGACCAGCCTGCTTAACCAAAACAGAAAGCCCCCACCTGAAGCCACTTCAACCACTGTGATGCCAAACACTTGGAAGCATGAGCAATAAAACTCTCCGGCGTCTCGAACTCCTCCCGTGGTCGCCACACCAGTCCCGTGCTCGCCGCGACCAACTCCTCCGCGACCGTCGGCTCCCTCGAAGCGTCGACGGCGTCGCGGTCGGTCTCCGCACAGGGCGGCGCGTGGGGGTCGAGGGCACGGCAGCAGGCGAAGCCCCAAGCTTTTTGGTCTGCGTCATACCTCAGAGAATGTCACTCCAAAGGTACGAAAGTGGGGTCAAAAGCAAAAGACACACAAAAAATTGCACAAACATTGTTCCAATGCTATGGTGGAGATACCAAGATCCCCACACACTTCGATGGCCAGGTGGATTTGCATCTTCCACATATCGCGAAGATGCAAGGGGCAAACTGCTGGTTGTATCAACAGCCATGAATGTTTCCACTTGCACTCACGTGAGCCCGGGTCACGCACATCAATGGCATGGCTCACTGTGAGATGACACTGTGTGTCTGGATGTCTTGGTTGACCGAATTCTTCTCAGTGCAGAACGTTTGGGAGCACTGGAGCACAGGGGAGCTACAGTAAGCCAGTTTGGGTCTGAAAGGGCACAGGTGGCAAACTCACATGAACATACTATAGCATGAACAGTCTCATGTAGTATCCGCCTAGAATACGCTAGAGAATGATGAATGCTGAACTTGAACCTGAACGCCCCTAACATGCAAGAGGCGGATGTCAAGTGAATACAAGAGCAACCCCCAAATAGATAGGGCAGTCTTGAAAAAAGGAGGCCGCCCTAAAAATCTGGGAGTAACATGGAGTAACTAGTACTAACCATTGCAAGAAACACGTGGGGCACATGCCACTTCTGACTCACTGAGCTTCACTTGCTGAGGTGGGCTCTCCACCATTTCCTTGTCCAAGGCCTGGGCCTGCGAAGAGGACACCGCGTCTGCGGCCCTACCGTCGCCGTCGCCACTGGAACTGCGTCTTTCAAGGCGAGGAAACCAATTAAGGTAAATAGAAGAATGAATGAATGCTCAGCCACTCTTCAATTAGATCCACAATGCTCCACAGATCTCTTCACGCAATGATCTAAACCCGAGTCTAAGACAACAGGATCTTATGGATCATTCATGAATAGAACTGTTCCCTGGGGGGAATCCCCATCTGATCCCTATCAGACAACAGGATCTTATGATCATCTATTCTTTATTTCTTCCTCAAAACGAACTTCTGGGGCAATCCACATCTTCCGTTTCACATCTTCCAGACTCTCGCATCCTCACCACGGAACGTCACCACGTCACCGCGTCGGGGTCGTCGACAGGTACAGCCATGGGTCTTCTGATATGACTCACATGTATTCGTAAGCGACTTCCTGAGGTTCTTGTGTCTTGCTCCAAGACCTCCTTTGCTGTACATGTTCCAAAAGGGGGGAACCAGCTGCAAACCGGCGGGACCAACCAAGTCTGGAACAAAACATGCGCAATGGTCCTGGAAGTTTGGGCATGTTCTTGGCTTTCACGGCTCCCGAACCACAGTTCAGCCAGAATCCACGAATCACAGGTCCTTGGCGTGTTTCGAAGCCTACGACAATTCTAAGAAGCTTGGGATCAATAAAATGGCTGGAATCCCCTAGGGCAAAATATGGGATCAAAAGGATGTCATAGGTCTTGAAAGTGGGGGGGATCCCACCTGGGGACCCCCTCCAATTATCATCAATTCTCGCTCATCCGTTCCTCGGTGAAGTCATGCGGCCCTGGTCACCGATTGATGCTGCGGGACTGGTGCCTCGAGGAACAGAAGCATCGCAAGTAGCATGCGCTGTTCTGGGATCGTCCTGACCAGGAACGATGGTCACGTCACACACGGATGAAGCGGCGAAAAGGGATGCGAGAGCGACTGTTTCGGGTGGTGCAACGTGAAGAACGCACAGCTGTCAAGGTGACAAACAGATTCTCATGAGATCTTCTGGCACTATCAGCTGTGGGCGGGACAGCTGGGCCGGCTTCTGTGAATGGTCAGGAGTCCATCCTGGTTCTACAGCCGTTAAGCCCTAAACCCTAAGCTGTCAAGAAAAAGAACAACGTTTGTGCCATGGGGATGAGCATGGATGAGCATTACATTTGTAGTGTAGAATCGACACCATTTCTATGTCCACGCAATGCGCCTCTTGAGCCAGGTCTTCATGGCCTGCCAGGGGCAACACCCCGGACGGGGAAACTCTGATTGGATGCCAACGGCCCATGGTATTTTCAGTCTGACATTCGAATCACGATCTCATACTTGCAGATCATGTCGACAGAAATTGCACATACTGCATCATTGCTTCGTCGCTCCCACAAACATGTTCACGAAATGAAGAGCAAACTTACATGCTGTGCAACAAGTGTACACTGTAGTCTAGACAATTCACACCGAAAAAGAGCACCCAGCGCAGCATCGTACCAAAACTTGTTTCCTGCACTAGTCCAATGCAATCTGATGCGGCAGCCTGCAGCATGCTATCGTTTGGAAAGATCTCGATGTTGGACCTGGAATCAGCCGGACCACTACAGTCTTTGAATCACCAGATTCCGGAGCCAAGTCGAAATGTACGACCTCAACACCCTACCAAACTGTTGTCTATTGTGCCTCCTGTTGTGTACTTGCTCAGCCGTGCATTTCAAGGTTCATGAGTTGAAATCCTACTTGGCATAAACACAGCACATTCATCATGCATTCGACGTTCACATCATGCAGCGTTTACATGCATCAAGCCTCTTGATGGACAAGAAATGACAAGAATATGATGTACAGTTTCCCCTCCTGTTGTATCCATCTTGCACAGCGCACAAAAAACATCCTCCAACATCCTCCAACGGTCCCAGGACGAGCTCGGTCTCGCTGCACCTGGCACTCTTTGGCCCAGCACGAGCTCGTATCTTTCGCCTCAGAGGGCACCAGCGAGGGACACCGCCGCACGGAACCGGGACCAGGTGCCGCATGGGCATGGAACCAGCAGCGGATGTCTGATTGAAGTTTCGGATGCTCATTGGGTGCTGACGGGCCCCGTTTTTTGGCTGAGGGCTAAAAAATATGAACAGCGTCAATAAAAACTAACCAGGTGTCAAACATGTTATTTCCAGTGAGCAATGAAAAGAAAGGGACTAGGGAAAGGACAACAGCAGCAGGGCGGGAGACCAGAGGACCATGAAAGGATGTTTGCTGTTTGCAAAAACATTAGGCGAAGGATGGCGAGGGTGTGCAATATTTGGTGTGGATATGCGATGGAGTGACCTTTAAAAAGTCGGTCGTGGCAGGCCCACTGCATTGGCCAAAGTAGTGCAGATTTCGTGGCGCTGGAAGGGGGTTGGGGGGGGGGGCGCAGCACCCCCCCCCCTAGAGCGAACCAAACATCAAAAGCCATCAGACTCAAAAGGCATCGCAAATCAGATCACCATTGAAAACTACATATTGCCTCATCAATGAAGGGCACTCAGAAAGTGACGCAAGGACCAAGGCAACCGGGTAGCACTTTAACATACTTTAACCGGGTAGCACTTTGTTTTCGCAACCCTCGTGTTTGTGACATTTTGTGACCAATATTGACTAATGGACCACGAGGCTAGCGGACCAGGACAAGGACCAGGGGACCCAGGGACTAGGGGACCAATGGACTAGGGCACCGAAGGACCAGGGGACCAATGGACCATAATGGACCAGGGGACCTACTCAGATTCTATGTAATTTTGATCCTGCTCCTTTGTTTGAAATTGATAATCTTGTTTTTTTAAATCTAGATGCCCCCCTTTTTGGGGCGACAAATGTGACATATGTCTCTCACTAGATACTGGCCACATCTGGCCACCGATTTGGTGTGGACCAACATCGACAGGGCCTCCTGGGATCGCCCCTGATCCTCCACCGTCACACGTCGCCCCGGCCGTTCCGCTCGGCCGTTCGGCCGTTGACGCGTGCAGCCATGGCACACCACGTTCTCAACGGCCAATGCCTCTTTGGAATTCGAAATCCATTCACCTCAGGTCCGGATGGACGGAAAATCTGTGGTCGTGCCAAACAGGAAAGGGAATACTAGTACCTATGAGAGTGTTGAGCTGTTTGTATATCAAAGACTAGTACCCTCTTGTGCATCACAGGGCTCTAATATGCTGCGAACCGTCCCGTTCCATTTTCACATGCAGGTCTAGCTAAACCATGCTCAACCATCATCCGCTATCTTAGATCTGTTACCCTTGGGGTGGCACACCAACTGTCATCTGGCTTCCAGTCCTCATCGTCGGCCTTTTTGTCCTGAGAAGGTGATTGTCATACATTGTCATTGAGAGAGAGAGAGAGAGAGAAAGAAAACCCAAGTGCCAAGAAGCCTGTGGGTGGGTGAGCGGATGGATGGATTGGTGGGTGGAGGGACGGACGGACGGATCTACTGTATATAGATTGATTGGATTGGTGGATGGCCCCTGATTTCATTAGTTCTGGATTGGTCATGACTCCATGACAATTTCAATATCTCCCATTGGGAATTGTTTTCGGCCACACAAACTGAAATAGCTGAGACTGGCAAGAACAAGAACCCATCGGTTCTTCCGGCTATGTCACGCCAGACCCCAACAGGAACATTCCGGCAAGCAATAGACTTAACCTTGGCCATCGGTGCACGTGGGGAACCTATGCAGCATGACGAAGAGGACAAAGGGATGCAACATGTTCAACAACACCTGAACGCATTACCAGGGTTTGGGCTATATTTGTGAGTTCTTCCGCAGGCAAATCGTTTAGCCATGTGCACCACGGGCCAAATTCCTACACCAAGACCCCTGATAGGGTCTTGTGATTCTCTTCGCCATGGCCACAGGACAACACCGAAAAGGACTGCAAAAGACCGAGCCAGCTCGACGGCAGATCCAACACGTTGGCCCAACTTGCAGCAACTCCAAGTCGAAGTTTATTGATCAATCATGCCCAAATATGCCTAATATGTAATTATGTCGTTTGCAGGAATGCATCTTCAAATTCATCACAGCAAGCCAAATTCAATTTGGCGTTACTCCTTTCAGGTGAACCACAACGTGCACCAACAGAGTGTTTGTACAATCGTTTCCTTGAATCCGCTGGCCCATCAAGCAAGTCCGTTTCTTTTCCAGAGTGCCTCTCACCATCTCTCGCCCCACCAGTGATGTAGATGGTTCAATAAACCCCCCTCCCCCAATATGGAGATGTAAAAAGAACATGTAAAAAACCATCTTGTTTGGTGAATTGAACCATGCGCCTTGGAGAGATATGACTCAGGTTACTCAGCTCTTTGCTCCCGTACCTGAACCTGATCTTCCCAGCTACCAACGGTCCGGTCCAGGCAGCCAACCAACCGATCCCGGTCGGATCGCCCTGCCTCGGTGGTCTGGAAGGTTTCTCTCCATCGATCGCCCTACGGAGAACGGGCACCGTTGGGCCACCGGATTCGGACGATCGGTAGAAGTAAGATCAATACATAATATAGAGATATATCAATTCTATTGGCCCCCCCCTCCCCCCCTTCCATAGTGATGCTATCACATCATTCATTCGAAGGAATTTGCTGAACATGACTTGTAGCTGGTTAAACAATGTTAAACATTGTTAAACTATGATGTTAAACTCCTTTTTTCTGGATCTGGTTCAAACTCGATCTGGTTAAATAAAATAAGTTGTCAATGATGTAAAGTGGTCCCCAAATAGATAGAAACGCTTTCTATCTATTTGGGGACCACTATCCGGGGATTCGCAAGAAAAACAAAGGATGTGCATATGTGTATCCTCTCTGCAGTGGTTGTCTTTGCCATGTGGCCCATGTGGCTGCGGCTGTCTCCTTTTCCGCACATGGCACTTCGCTCGACCTCAACCTTGTCCATGTGGATCGTTCGGAATCCCAATGGAGGTCTTGAACTGACAGGTTGGTTGCGGGGGGGGTTGCTGGGGAAGTTCCAGTGATAGACGTCAAGCTCTGCAAGGTGGTGACCGGGTGAGTGCGAACTTTGGTGGTCTGCAGTCGCCAGTTGGGCGGATGGTTTCCAAGCGTTTTCTGGTGCGGAAGATGGGGTTGGTCTGGTTGAAATCATGGGACATCTACCGAAACACCCAGAGTGAAAGCACCTGACCTTGCTTCACTAGACTGGGTCTTCCCCACTCTGGTGTCAGCAGCATACATTTCCGGCCCGCAAAACTTGGCAAGTAGACCAACTAGAGCACTGATACTTTGGAGACCCGATCGCAAATGTCAGAGATCGGTCTGCTGCAACCTGCACCTCAGCCCACTGTTGGCCAGCTGGCCACCCACCCAGCCTCCTCGTAGAACTCATCCTCCTCTTCATCCCGCGCCTCCTGCCTCTCTTCTTTCTTGGTCCAATCCCTGATCAGCACAGGTCCATGGTCCGCAGCCGTTTTGATTCAGCTTTCTGCTTTCCTCTCTTGAGATTCTTGACTCTAGGGTTCCACAACCTTTGGATAGAGGAACCTCTAAACTCTAAATACTCGATCTCAAATCTATCTACTGGCTGAACATCCCCTCACTGACGCCAAATTCAAGTGGTGGTATTGCATAATTATAATACTCGCAAAAAATGAGTCAAAGGAGATTCGGGCAAATTACATGCGTATTCTCAAAGTACGTTCAAACATGTCCTACAACAAGCGTGTCCCCAACTTGACAAGTCATCGCCATCTGAGGCTCAAACTCCTTGTGCCAGTTGGAGCTGGTGGCCTAAGAAAATGGGGTCACCCTATTCGTGGCCCCGGTTCAGTGCCATCGATTTCGTGGTGTCACCGACTGGGCGACAAACAGGAAGAAAAACCAGGGGCGAATCAACCGGATCTGGACTGAAACAAACGTCCTAACTATAACCTGGCGTTCAATCGACCTCGGTCTCCGGATCTCGACTGGAGCATGATCGACCGGGGTAACGAGAAAGAGAGTGACGATATGTGACGCTCGAAAGGCAAGTCAGTCGTTGGATTCTGCCAGCACGAGGACACCTTAACCAACCATTACAAGGACACCTTTCCTCAGCCAGCAAAGGTTCCACCCTATCATCACCCAAGTGGCCGCCATCCGGGCAATCTCGTCCAGGACGCTTTCCTGCTGCCGCTCCGGGCCTGCTTTCCACGCAACGAGATAAAAGGACAATGGCGGAGTGGACGAAGTAAAGTGATAAAATGTCCCCGACGATGTGTTCGAAAAGGAAGTCTTCCTTAACTAAGCCACAAACCAAATGATTAACAATGAAGGCTTCTCAATCATGTTGCCTATTCAGTCATCTTCTGTATGTTCAGAGTCGAATAAAATAACAGGCTTGGTTGCAGCTCCCTTGGAAGACTACAAAACCATACAAAACTTGCCACAATCAAGATGAAGACTCTCGTCAAACGCATCTTCATGACATCTTGATTCTCTCAATCAGTCCTGTGAATCTCTCCAAACTGCATATATAAGTTGTGTGAATTTGCATGAATTTGGGGCTACATGACTGAACTTCAGCAGCACCTTGGTTCGTAGGGCCCTTCCATTTGATGCCCCAGTCATCATCGCTATCTTCCGCCTTAGCGCAAAGGCCACATGATGCGGTAAAAGAACACATTGAACATACTGTATAGATGTTTGCAAACATTTTGCAAACTAACATTTGTTGGCTACTTCTACTGTCAGTTTTTGATGATACAATCATTGGAGACAACGGGAACATCATCAGTGGGTTTCTGCTCTGCTATAGGAAAAATATGTACAAATCCATCCATGAAAGCTAGCATGGAACCCAATTGTTCTGAACCTATCTGGAAGAGAGGGATTTGCTCCGTCCGATAATGTCTGCTTACCAGCTTCAAGCACGCCATGGGTTGAAGTTTGTTCAGCCAAAACGACGACTCCATCAAACACCATGCATCTATATCACTAACAACCAGAGTTTGGTTCAGACAACAAACACTGGCAAGGTTGCTTGTGATATCTAATTCACTATAATTCACTGGACCCAATCGACAAAAGGACCTGGACAAGTCCCGTCAGAACATAGTGCACGACACCAGCACATACCAGCACTGGAGCGCTTCCCATAAACAGCTGTGTCAAGGGGTGATAAAATGAAAAACACCGGTCAAAAGCATGTCCAACACAGCATATCATGATATATCATGCCACCCCGAAAACAAGCATACTTCCAGTTCTCACCCCCAATGGAACTTTACACTCTCAAGATAAAACTGCTCGAAGAAAATCATGACATACAGCTTTAAACAGCCTTAACCACTGCCTTAACCCCCACCTTGAAGGGTTTCTGTGCTTCTTCACTGCTGGACCACAGAACCAGTCCGACCCGAACCCAGTGGGCCCACCTCAACCTCCTTGTCTTGCACCTAGCAAGGACAGGTAGTGGACTTCTCTCAACACAAGAAACACATATCGAGTCCGAGTGAGTAAGAATTTCTGTGGATAGTTAGAGTGAAATCATATCTCCAATATTCTCTAATCAGCCCTAAAAAACAATATGACTATCACCTTTCTTGCATGTTCTTGCAGGTGGATTGAAGTTGAAGGCTAGATCTCCCAAAGTTGTGATGCGAATGAGCGATTGCTTCAATGAAATGCTCACAAGAAAACTAATCTTGTTTCCTGAGTTGCAGATTTGCCACTGGTGTTTGTTGCATTAGCAAAAACACACATGTGGCCCTTAACACTTGGACGCCCCTTAACACTTGAGCTGCTCTGAAAGCCTGCAGTAACTCCCTATTACTATGTCGTATCAATTTGCTTCCGCTGGCGGTTACGCCATCCTTGCGCAAGCCAGACTTTGGCTTACGCGGAGCTAGTCAGGCAAGAAAAGCTTACGCAAACCCTTACGCGCACAAAATCTGCAGAAGTTCCACAGTCACAGTTTACGCAGGGTCTTTTTTCCTTGCGGCAGCGAAGGTTCAAGAAGTGAGTATCTTAGGATCTTGCTGATCTTGCGGTCCCTTGCACCCTCTGCGCTTGGCAGCTTGCTTACTCAGTGCCTGAGCCTTGCCTGACAACCTCTCCTCCAAAGTTCGTTTTGGCTGTGGCGTCGATGAAGATTTGCACAGCTTCTGGGCGGAGAATTTTCGGGTAACCAGGTGTTCGTCTCCTGCTTGGGGCCCAGCCTGCTCCCATTATGGGCTACTAGTCACTTCAAACGAATGCGCTTACGCCATCCTTACGCAACTGCTTACGGACGGCTTACACGCAATATCCTTCTGTGCAAACACCAGGTATCACCTCATGCGATCGAGACTTTGTGACGTTCATTCCAAACAGGTTGGAGCATTTGGCCAACACATTGCTTGATGATACATGGTGCAATTACAGAACAACCTTGATCGTCCATCCTACTACAGTAGGTCCCAAACAAGACAAACAAAAACACGTGTCATAGCTCCAACGTGGTTGCTTGTCTTCCTCTTTTCAACCCTGGACTCAGAAAGAAAAGAATGGAGCTTACGCAAGTGCTTCAGCAACATCACATCCCCAAAATGCTTACGCAACCTTACGAAACTCATGGTGTTTGCTTACACGGGGGCTTGATATGACAAGACCTTGACTAACACACATATAAAGCAAGGTTTTTAGAGTTGCTCACTTGACAGTTTCCTGCACTTTCACCGGAACTGCACCCAACGGTGCGGCCTGCGCAGGTGGCGCGATGGCCGCGGGCAAGGGTGCCTGGCACACCGGACCGTCCCGGACTGCGGACCGTCCCAGGTTCTCTGCGGAGAACGTTCGAGTGGGTGGGGACAAGTTGTGGGACTCGCCTGCAATTCCTTCTCCAACTGCTGCCAAACATCACCTCAAGGAGATTGATGAGGATTCCACAGGCAATTGAAGTGATCCACAGCTCTGCTAGTAGTTATTTCACATACTATTTACAATGTCTTTTAAACGATACCACTGCCTGAAATTCTATAGCTGTCACTCTGAATTGATCTTCTGCGGAAAACATAATAACGCTCATCTGGGGACCTGTGACGCCGCAACCTGCGGCAACCAGAGGTTCTTCCGGTCTGTTCCGATGGAATCATTGAGTTCCCCCTCATCCAATCCAACACCAGCCGACACAATGGATTGATGGGTCTTGCTTTCTGTGACAAAGAATGTCAGAAGTATCAGCATGTATCAGAGTTCATGTTGCAGCTCTGTATAGCTCTGTGTACTCATTTTGGCAGAAGCAAAATGATATACTGCAGCCATCTGCAGCCTGATAAGTGAGGAAGGACGGCTGCATTTCCATATTCACCGATCCTTGCCATTTACATGACATGCGACCAAGCTGCCTTCGTGTGTACTACCTGCACACCAGGTGATCAATAAGGACAGCATGATTCGATTGGACTCCGTGGACAAGAAATGGCCTACAGTATCGACAATCTTCCCATAGACTATTGATTCGACCCAAAGGAATATCACAACTTCGCACCCATCCAGGTAGCTTTGAGTGAACTGCTGAGGAAACAGTTCCACCCCAAACAGCCAGTTTCAGCCCATGAGCGAGGCCAAAGCCCTCAAAATTCCCCAAACATGAACCACCTTGATTCTTCAAACCAATTGGGTTCATCTGGCGACACTTTCTTGTTGAGTGGCTGTAGTCAAATGGAATGAAACGTAATCAAGGCTTCAAGATGAGTGAATCAACACCTACAGTTTGTGTTCTTCAGGGGCTGAGCATATAAACCATCATGGCTGTTGCAAGACCCAAAATTATCAGCATTCAGCATGCTTTACAACACATAGCGAACACGGCAAGGAAGAAACATCTGGCAAAACTTGAGACAGAGTCAGAACGGACTCCCTCTGATTTGGGCAATACTCCTGGCAACCCTGTGGCATCCCATGGCTGAAGCGGCACGCACAATATTTCTTTGCTCGCCAGGAGATCATCTGCGAAGACCGGAGAGCACTGATCAGCCTAGTACAAGGGAATGAAGTCGTATTTTGATTTAGTGCAGTGGGACTGTCCGATGATTCCTCCATATTCATCCAATAATCTTGACGACAGTAGAATAAACAACCTACAAGTAGAAAGATTAATTACACAGATTCATCTGCGGGGCAAATAGAATGAAGACTGGAGCCAATAATAAATGAGCCAATAACTTATGATTGCTAACTGCTATCCTAGCAAGGGGTTGGGGAACTCCCTGTAGCTCCTTGGCTCCCTGATCAATGGGGAATATAATATGGATACCTCCAGATCCTCTGGCTCCTTAGCTCCCTCCTGAGCACCAGCTAGTATCCATATGCTCAACAGCTTCTTGGACAGTCTTTGGAGTTGCTGGATATGCAAGATCATGCTGTCATGCTCAATCACAGAAGCCCACGTAGACTGTATACTTGATTAATCAACAAACTCCCTATATAAAAAAGATGTTTCAATCCAAATGGGGCCGGTTGTCCATAATCTAAGAGTCTACATGTTCCCACATCTCTGGACTCGATCCTCCGATCCTGTGTCGTTTTGCCACTCCGCCCAATCGGCACCTGCCAGGAGTCGATCCTTCAACTTCTCCACCGCCTCTTTAAGCATCTGCTTATAGCCCCGTCGCATGGTGGCCGCCATCTCCTCCCGACCCAACCGTCGCGTGGTGGCATGGTATGGCATAGATGGCAAAATCACACCGTTCTGATGGGGAGACGGCAAACTGTTCGGTGCAAACCTGTCCGCTGCCTGCCTGGAGCTCTGAGTTATTAAACTCGGTGTGCTTGCTCATGGAGTTTGGTTGGCAAGGGGCACCATTCAGAGATGAGAGACAACAACACTGTGCAGTTCTACAGTCGTATCTGCTGCCACCATGCAACAATCAAGGCCTTCACTAGGGCAATAATATCAGAAACCCTTGCAAATTGAATCATCAAACCTCCTATATATACACATGGATCAATATATTATGGTCCAAATTAGCCAAACTTGAAACCGTGACAGGCTGGGCTGCATACTGCACTCCTGGTTGTCCGACTTGAAGTCATCGCCTTTGGCCAGATCCTCCTCGAGGCGGCCACGTGGAAACAAGCTCCACGAGGCCTTCTCCAGCGCGTCCAAGTACATCTGAAGACCTGGTTTGTTTTCAGACACATGTGTCGAGAGAACCAGTTCTTCTTCACACATCCTCGACCTTGCAGAAAACTCAGCAGTCACACTCTCCAAAATACATAAGTTGTTACTTTATGTTCTATCATTTGACCTGATACGCTGATAGGCTTGGTTGAAAGTCCTTGATGTTTATTTTGCAGCTCAACCAGTCTTCCAACACCAAAAGTCCACCGGGTTAGCCCCGCGCCTTCAGGCGTGGCGCTCCAGTGCTGCCCTTGGGGGTCCTCTGTGACGGCGAGTCCTGCCAAAGGCAATTACCAAACAAATTCAAACGTTTAATATGTTTAATTTGATTCATGACGGCTATAGGGGCACTGGTCACTGATCTAAATGAACATGGACCTCACAAGAGCAGCAGCAGCAGCAGCAGCAGTTCCTCTGTTTTTCGCCCCCGTTCTCTCTCTCTCTCTCACTCTGCCCTCTCATCTCTCTCACACCCTATTAAGGAGTCCTACCAGATTCAGCCACGAGTCGTTCCACTGGATGCCTCCAGGCTGCCGCCCAACCTTGGCGCCATAGCGAGGTGGATCTTGACATAAGTGTCTTGGAGCTTGACGAGGCAAAGGATTCCACATGATTTCACATGCCATATTAAATATCAGCATTCCTTTATGGTTGCGGTTGCGGGTTATAATTAGAACCCTGCATGCTAAATGCCACCCAAAATTGAACAAATTCAACCTACGTACTATGAATTCGCGGTGCAGCAGCCTGGGGGTTGAATCGCTTTGAGATGATGTGAATGTCAAATGTTGATGCAATCTGCACTATGCAATTGCATCGTTGGAATTGTCCAGCGACTCTTGAATCTTGAATCACTTTGAAACTTTGGGCATCGCACTGATGCGGCGGGTCCAGGCAAGCAGCAAGATACATACTGAGCCCAACTCCCTCTTCTTCGGGATCTGGCAGTTGTTCCTTAAATTGCTGCTTGCGCCACTGTGCAAAGTCCTCTGCAGCTTGCTAGCAGGCAGTGCATCATACACTTCCATATCTTGCGGTGTTTTGAGCCCTTTTCCTTACACTCCTGAAGAGTCTGGAGTTGGAATGTCGGCGGCGGGCATCATGAGGACTTTTTAACGCTTTGAACAAACCCACAGAGCCAAATGGTGTAAGACTGAGAAACTGGATGGAATTGGCATGATAACAAGATAGAGCAAGCGCAATCCGTAAGATTCATGATTGATGCGGTTTTCACGCACCAACTCTCGCTCCCCCTCACATCGCACTGGTTCTACACATCCCAAGTAGTCAAGTCAAGCCATGTAGATCCAGGATGATCGAAACTCCATCAACGCCCTCCAATGCGACAAATCCCCGGTCCTCATTGCTCTGTGCATTGCAGACTGATGCCAACGCCTCCCGCAAGTCCTTGGGTCTGGCCATGATGCGATCCTTGGCAAGCCGGTCTTGTAGGTTGACTGCACACTGCAAACTCTACTGTAGTGACTACTGAGAAAGAATTGGGAAGAACACTGTCCTTTCAAATACAAAGATTACAAAATAAACATCCATCGACGACAGAAAGTTCACCTGAGGGTTCAAAACAGTAAAGCTCCGTAGGTCTAGAGTCAATAAGTCAACACATTCTGCACAATTCAATCATTCCTACCACAAGACGGATATCCAAGCGGCATAAGGGTTTTCCTCTACCACAAAACCCGAGGTGGTCATCAGCAAGTGGTTGGGATCCTGGAAGCACGACAGCTGCAGTGACACTGCTCGAAAACATCGCAGTGAACCCTTGTCGTCCTTGTGTCCTCCAATACCTGAAGGAATGCGATGGAATGTCGAGACTGGTCGCTGCTTTGGCAGGCTGGACTGGATTCAAGGATCTTCGGAAATCCACTTGGGGAGAAACATACATGACACAGGATCTGCCCAAGTGCAGTCTAGATGCCAGGTGCGAATGGGGATTGAGAACGAGAGGTTCTTTTGTTGATTCTAAGAACAAGTGTAAATTCTCAGAACTCTTGCATCAACCACAATCATCCAAAGGCTGTTTTGAGCCAACATTCCTGAGGAGCATTTTACTTGCTCCAAGACTGCCCTTGTCTCCATCGAGATCCAATTGAAAGAATCATATATTTTCTCTTTACGAGTCGTGTCCACAGGCAGTCCTCGCAGTAGGCGAAGTTCAAGGTCTCTCCTGGTGCAATATCCTGAGATTTCTTGAGCTGGAATGAGTACAGTTGTTGCAGGAACGAAAAGAATCTGAATGGCATGTGCCAGCATTTTTGTCATAGGAATATATAATTTCATGGAATTTCAAGAAGAAAGTTCGGGCTTTCCAAGTTGTATTTTACAACCTATAGAAGTCCGATAGGTGTGTCAGATATTTTCACGAGATATGGTGGGCTAAACTTGCCACTTTGCAAACCAATCGTCCTTAATGCACTTGGACTTATATATCAAGGCAACATGATTTTTTTTTCTCAACCAACAATTGAAGATCTTCCTAGATAGTATTTCCATGTATTTCCTGGTTCAATCCATGTCTCCATCTTTGCCCTCAACTTCCAGGACTCAGGGCTAGCTGTGGAGGGCGACTCCCACTCGCAGCTCGGATAGAAGCGATGGTTCAACCTGGGTCCCAGCAGCGAAGCTACTCATCGACGCATGGAGTCGCTGGGAACCCCGATGAAAAGAACAACAGTTTGCCCAGGGGCTGCGCTATCCGCTATCCACGTCCATAATATGATTCCATGTGACTCAGAGCGCAACCGGCCCCTACCGCCGATCCTGGTTTCGATGGCCATCAAAGGGTGCAAGAGGCGATGACTTTCACTTCAATGGTGTTCTGATTCAGCTTTGTTTGACGTGAGCAATGTCAATCTCTCTTCTTCACATGCACGCTCCCTTCAGATGTCTCATGTATTCATGTTGAACCTTAGACCAGTGTGTATCTGCAAACACTGGACCATCCCAAAAGCCCACCATGCCAAAGCGATCCAAAAAGCAAATCTCCCAGTGGGATCATTCCGGTGGACACCTGCCACAAGCGAGAGGAGATTGAATGGGTACAAACCTAGTGGCATCATGCGGCATCTTTATCATGAACACAAGATCCATGGCCACAGGTGGATCAAGTATGATCAAGTTGTAGGGATCGACCACTGAAGCATCAAGACCTGAACATACCGTCTATCTACAGTATCCGTCCAACTACCAGCGGAATGTACGCAAAAAAGAAGCCTGCCTCGCAAGAGAAGCGTCGCCCCAAGACCAGCTGCAAAGCCTTGAGAAGACAGAGTTGGCTCTGTTTGTATGGAAAACGAGGGAGAAATCTTTGAGCCTGCAAAGTAGACAACATGAACACTTCCCAGTGAATCGGCGAAGAATAGGCCCAAAATGGCCCAAATCGTCTTTCCACACCAGAAATTTGTTTGCATCCTTTTCGGCCGATCTGCTCGACGTCCATTCCTCGGCCCAGCGTCTCTCGGCTCGTCTCCCATTCCGGCCTCTTTCAGCTCCGTCGCCTCGAGGCCACTCTTCTCAGCCAAGAGCTCGACGGCTCGCCGTGTAACGCTCAAGGACTCCTCTCGCCGTGCGGAGGAAGAGGAAGAGCTGGGCTTCAGGCACGGGCTCGGTTCGGATCTTGGTGGATTGGTTCGGATCTTTGAGCCCATGGAGCCCTTCCCAAACATCATCTTTGACATCGGTGGGCTTCACTGGCCTTCTTGGAAACGGCTGACTGGGATAGCCTAGGGTTAAAAGGGCAACTTCAGCCCAAGAGTCAACAAGGAGCACTACTCGCGCAAAGCAAGTGTGGGGCAATTGCTTTGATGACCCAGATGAACAGTCACAGCCCGAAAATCAAGGTACTCGTCATGCTGCAAAGATCAAGTCCATTCAAATCTTGTCTTTGTGAAGATACGGGGCGGTCGTGTTGAGTTCACTCATCCTCGCGTAAGGTCACCCATTCCACATTGGGACCCCGCAATCGCATGAAGTCACGCATGTGCGCAAGAAGGCACCCATTCTCTATTGAATTACGTACTTGATCCCGAAGCTATAAAGTATTGCATGAGCGTTTAACTGGCATCTAGGTTGAGAACAGCACGGGACACCAACTTGAAGTGCTTCGTTCCAGCAGGACATCAGCGTCCCTTGCTTGGGGGCGTTGCGTTGTCACACACCGCGTGCACCTTCATCCCCTCCTTCAAGGGGATGTTTTCCAAATCCTCCAGATCAGTATCCTCGTAGAAGAGAGGAAACGTGTGCTTGCCTGAGCTGGATGCGGTCTGCGAGTCATGAAATATGAAGCCCACGTCTCATGTTCAAACCCCAAGAGACACACTCACATCTCAATTCATCTTACTTGAACTCACAAGACCACTGACATGAATCCCACTAGCCCATTGACCCACCATCTCCAAGGCACATGACAAGAGCCTTAAATATGGCCACCATGCAGAGCCCTCACCCTCCTGGCGCTCCACCCCAACGGCCAAGGCCAATTCAGCGTCCTACGAGGTCGAACACCGGGTCGATCGCCGGCCAGTGAGCCGAAGGACGCTACGAATGGGGCTCCTGGCCTTACTACGAACGGAGCAAGAAGCTATTAGGAGCAGAGGGCATCGCTACGAATAGCAAGAGGAATCTAGTAGCCATGGCCTCCAACCTAGAAGCAATGGGCAATGGCCTCCAAGCTAGAGGCAATGCTCCAACCTACTAGCGATGGCCTCCACCCCCATGGAATCATTGAAGGCCCACAGCAAATAAGTTTTGTGACACTTTACTCACTACCAAGTGAGAACACTGCTACAGTGCTACTAGATCTTGGTGGCCTGGTGCACCCCTTCTGCTAATACAGCTACAGTAAATCATCCACAACTGCGACAGCTGTAAGTCACAAGAGCCTTGCAGGACGTTTTGGGTCCCCTCAAAACACCACGCAATCCGCCAACCCAACCAAATTTCCAGATGCCTCCGAAGTCCTCCCCAAAAAAGGAACCCTTCAAACAGTCCTCCTTCCTGAGGCCTGCCAGCTCCATGGCCTCTAGGAGCTCAGCATCGAAAACGACGTCGTAGGCGTTGGGCACCACCGACAAGCAGCAGCTCACGGGGATCTCCTCGACCGTCGTCGCTGGACCGAGCACCGATCGTTTCAGGGGTCGATGAAGCGTGCGGTGTTGGAAGCTACGAAACGTTCGGCGTTGGAGTCTCTTGTTGGATGATGGTTGATGGATGGTTTGCGCTGGCGGAGACAAGTGCAATTTAAAGGGACAAATATCATGCCTTGCTCGAAAGTCACATACACTCATAATATCAACTCATATCATGTATATATATATATATATTACTTAATGATCCCCCTTGGAATTAAGAGGGTGGGTTGGGTCAGTCAATTTTATAGTGACTAAAACGCTGCATATGACATCAGAATTGTGAGGTTGCCTTTTTACCTCTATAGAATTGCTGCTCATGAGGGTCTAGGTGAACCTCTATAGAATTGCTATCCACAGGTCTTGAAAACAGATGGAAACTTGTAACAAGTCCAGCAACAAGTTCTATAGAATCAGATGCCTCAGGGTACTCACTTAAGCGTCTTTTTTTCAAGATGAGTATATTGGGCCTCTATAGAATGGCAGGCTTTGGGTTGTAAAAATCTATTGCTTTGAGTTTCAATACCCCACTAATATTCCACACTGTTTGCTACGCCAATTCTATAGTATTTCAATCTGATGATTGAACAAAGTCACCATCACTGATTTTATAGAAATGCCCCAACCCACCCGCTGAATAGGAAGGGGAAAAACCAATGTCACTCGCTCAATCTCGCTCAATAGAATTGCAGCCCATTACTCCTACAAAAGCCATGTGGGCATATTGGAATTGTTACCATAAATTAGCATCTATAATGAACTTGCACACCACAACTCCCGAAATTACATCTCTATGACAGCCCCAAGACTGAAGAAAGATGGAAAATGCTGGGAAGATACTGGAGAATGCAGGGAACAAACAGAACATACCAGAACCATCCAGAACCTGTCAGAAATGATTCATTGTGAACCTCGAGCAATCTCGAACAATCCAAAACAATAGTTTAAAGAATATGTCGTATTCAATCTTATAGAGATTGCTCAAGTGATCTCTGGTGTATATTCCAAAAATATTCAAAATATACACCTTCACAACGAAATCAAAACTCTATAGAATATTATAGAATTGGAGTGCCGGGGTCAAACTATGCTATACCTTTTTGGTTTTGTTGCAGTCTCCCAAAAAAAGTGGTTTCTATAAAATTGCATTCCACAGGAACCCTTGTCAGATGCCCCCCAAAAAATGCTCAATTAACATCTTTTGGGTCTATAGAATTGGAGTTAAGTACCCTTGTGAGAGCCGCCCCCCAACAAATTCCCAATGAGATCCTTTTTGCTCTATAGAATTGCACTCAAGCACCCTTTTGAGAGGCCACCCAAAACATGCTTAGTGGATCTTAGTGGGAAACACTGAGGAAATCCCCCAGAAACACCGTGTCACATCAGGAGTCTCAGTCACAAGCACTTTAGACTATCCCCCCCATCCCACACCCAAGAAAAGTGTACTGTTCCATGTCGTTTCCAATTTTATAGAGGGTTTACATTGATCAACTGTGGTTTCCTTGCTCGAAAGGAAATTCAAGAGTATGTCGAGAAAACCGATTTTATTCCCCAAACAGTTTACTGTTAGGGGTTCTCAATGCTTTAAAGAATGGTCGCCTTGGTGCTGGATGGTCTGGTCGGGTTCCCGGCCGGCTTGTCTCCCACTTCCTTTCATTTGTCTCCCAGTTCTTTTCATTTGTCTCCCAAGCTCGGTGCTTGTGGTCGGGTTCCCGGTCTTGTCTCCCACTTCCTTTCATTTGT